TATTCATAAAACTGTACCGGGGTATTCATAAAACTGTACCGGGGTTCAAACTCAGATTCTGTACTCAGCCCAATGTTTTGTTCCAGTTACAAATTAGTAAAAGATTATACTTGCCAATAATTTTGGATGATTTTTAGAGATTTGAAGCAGAGTACCATTTCCAATGCCTTGACTCAACTTTTTGACCATGTCACATGATACAAAAGTTGGTTTAAACACAAAATCCATGCTTGAGCCTGAGAACAGTTTCATGAACCTGGGCGCTAGATAAATGGCAGTCTCGGGTATGAGAGATGAGATAGAATCATTGACTATTCCACACAGATAATGAGTTAGATTAGTAAGTAAGATTGTACCTGTGCTGGATCCCTCGGGGCAGTACTGCCCCTCTGGACAAGGACGTCCGGTCGTCCCATCAGTCGGTGTAGAACTATTGGCACCAAAACTGCATACGTAGCCGGCACTGCACGGTCCTTCAAAAGTTGTTAGTCCTGGTGTCTGGCAGTACTTACCAGGATCACAGGGAAAGCATTCGGCTGTAACGAGAGAAAAGGTTCATCAGTAACACTGCAATGATGGTAAAAAGGATTCACAAGTAACACTTTCTACTGTAGGAAGGATAAATGGGATTCATGGGTAACACATTCTACTGTAGGAAGGATAAATGGGATTCATGGGTAACAATCTCTAATATAACAGCTTCAGTTAATACAACAACAATAAGTGGTGAATCTATGTGGAGCAGTCACCAGGCAATGGACACTGGTTGGTGGGTTTTCTCCAGGTACTCCACTTTTCCGTCACCATCAAAACCTGGCTCATCCTTAAATGACCCTGGATATGAACAGGACATAAAGCATAAAGAAACCAACCCCATTACTGGTACATAGCTTCCTGTAGATATTACTTTATTTGATGATTCTAATTAAGCCTTTCAGTGTTCTAACTTGTTTTCTAAACAATAACGTTAGTTCTTGCTCCCGATCCAACACCAATATGTTCAACCCTTGATATATATATCTTTGTAAAAAAGAAAGTTAAAATAATGCATTCCTTACAATCTGATGCCAATAATTCCACGCTGCCGTAAGAGCCGGAGGGACATGGGTTCTGGTAGTTGTATTGTGTGCTAGTTGGGCAGTAGTAACCTTGCGGACAATTGACAGGACTGATGATTCCAGTCACGTTACCAAGGTCATGGGGATCACAGTAGAATCTCTCAGGACAAGGCAGGCATGTAGCCTGACCATCCAAATAGTTATAGGAGCCTGAAAATATCATAATAGCAAACATTTAGTCATAGCAGTATTAAAGTATGTGCCATTTAGTGCTAGGATATTAAAAATGGCAACCACTCAGTCGTAGTCAAATGAGCCTAAAACATCAGTCACTTACAAACAAGCACTTAAAAATAGCAACAACTTAGTCACAAAAACCTTAAATCAATTGCCGTTAAGTTATGGGGTCCAAAAAATAGCGACTGACCACTTATTCAATCAAACCTTAAAATAGCTTCCATATAAACTTCCTGTAAATGCAAATTTAATGCTTTATTTCATTTGTGTATCGGAACACTTTCTATTGTATCCGACATGTATTTAATGTAACTGACCTCTCTCACAGACGACAGGAGCGGGGCTGCCCTGGGGACAATAATCTCCCATAGGACATCTGTAGGCAGAAGGTGTTGCTGTCGTCTGTCCCTCGGGACAGTAGAAACCTCCATCACACATGCCATTCTCTTCTATCAACCCTGGGCTGTCACAGTAGTACCCTTCAACACATATCAAGACACAAGGATTTAAATAGAAGTTCACAGAGGTATTCTGGTTTTGAAAATTTCACATCACTTATCTGGATAAATAAAGGGTCCCTGTGCAGGAATATGAACCGATTTTTACTAGAAATACTGTCTTTAATTTTTGTGTTTCAAACAATGAATTTTTGAAGATATGAATTTGCTGAACTGAATGAACCATATCAGTTTTACTACCGTCTCTTTATATGTCTATAAATAATTTTTCATTGAGATATCTGAATTAAAAATCTTCTGTCATTGCAAATTTGGTATAGAATAGATATAAGTAATAGCGAGTCGAGTGCTTACCTGGTGTACAGGGTTTACAATCAGAGACGTTGGTGTTGCCCGTGGAGTTAGAGAAGGTTCCGGTCGGACAGGCGGTCGAGGTGGGCGAGCCCTCCTCACAATAGTGACCCGCCAGGCACACAAATGAACTGGGGTTTGCCTCAGTCTGACCCGTAGGACAGAAGAATCCAGGGTTGCACTTTCCTGAAACACACCATACACTTAACATTGTATATTTCCTCAATCAAACAAAA